GACTTTGTGAGACAAATTAGCCAATTTGAAGAACACATCTGGTGATTATCACAGAGGACCTCTGGAGTGGACTGGAGCAGATGCCTGCAGAAACAGCCTCACTCATGCTGCCCACTTTGTTTTCTTTGATGTGAATCGGGCCTGGCTCACAAGGCGCCTTTATTAAGTTAGCTGGATAAATGCAGCCAGAGGAGCTATTTAAACTTCAGAGGATGTGAATTTCTGGGCTTTCATGTTTTCCTTAGCAAGATTATCCTGATAATTTAGTTGTGCTAACTTTAGCTGTACTATAATTAGCCCTTCTAAATTTAAGCTTAGAAATAAGCATGTGAGCAAGTCTCAGTGGCCTTTGGCTGACCATTAGAGTTATTGGTCCAAAAACCCTGATTTATATGAATATATGAATATAATCTAAAGACTAAATAATGTAATTTCAAAGATAAAACCACAAAAAGGGCCCTGAATCTCAAATAAAAATGAATGTCATAATTATTATAGCTGGTCAAACAGCAGGGGACAAGATGAAATAAAACATCAAAACTCGAGTCAGCAGAAATAGGTACATCTAACCCTAGCTGTAACCCAGACCCCTGAAGGACATGTTGGGGTGGTCTGGAAAATTCACTGTCCATATATTTTAATGTCTTTTGAATGATTTTACGATTCTTCTGGGAAAATTAAATGTCTCTGTATGACTTCACAAAAAATAACGGCCCACGTGTTTCATATTTCAGTCAAAGAAGTCATAAACAGCCAGTGCTGAACGGCTCATATAATATGATTTAGTAAAGAACATCATAAGGCACCAGTCATTTGGGCACTCAGTTGGTTACCAGTAAACTAGAGTTAAAACTTCAAACCCAGTTCTGCTTGGGTTCATGAGAAGGCTGGTTTATACCAATGCTTGTTTGAGGACATTGCCAAAAGGTTAATAATGACTCTTCTCTCTAATATTGATTCAGTTAGGTTTTTTTCTTTTTCTTTTTATTATTAAAGTTAATGGTTTTCAGACTCTAGAATGTGATGATGTGACATTCAGATGAGGTGCAACATCCTCAGTCATTTTTTTATATAAAATTACAAAAAAAGAAAAGGCAGAGCATAGTTCTTCACAGTTCGTCACCCACTCACCCATGTTTCTGCGGAGAGTTTATTCCTTTGCCTGGAATGTTACAGAGAATAGCATCAAACTCATCCATTTTACACATGCAATTACTCAATTAGTTTTTATTGCCCAAAGATACCTTGAAAAACATGCATTCTTGCTGTAAATGGGCTTGCATCTACTTGTCTCCGTGGAGATAGATATGCTTAATGTCATACAGTTGAACATTCCAGGCTAAGCAATAACATCTCCATGGAGACAAGCAGGTGGCAGACCCTCCACCAAACCTATTGCACCAAATGAATGTCCAAATGATTCTTGTTAAATACCAACACTTTCATCAACATCTCATATTTCCCTTCTTACAAGGAGCGATACAACTCATATGATCTCTTGTTAATCTCGGGGTTCAGCATGAATCAGCAAAAGTGAGTCATGGTATTTAATTAGTGATGCAATGGCAGCACTCCCCCTGCTCCTGAGCCTGCCTCATTAGGTGTATTGTGGCGATGCTGATGTAATGCAAGTTAATCTGTTGGCCTCTGGTTGGCTGGGCGGCACAGCGGGGGCTCTTTGTGTGGGACATTAGCCCAGCCCCGCCCCCTGGGGACAGGTTCATTCAGACAGACACAGATACCCAAGTGGTGTGGCCCTTTGTCAGCCAGTCTGTCTGTGTGAATCATTGTGTTTCAGTCACTTATGAGAAAATACTGGTGAGTGGCATCCATGAAAACCACCAATTCCTTGGCATGTGCCGCAGATCACGTACACCACACATCTGATTGACAGGTAAATGGGTCTCAGTGCTGTGCTGAGATTTCCCATCTATCTCTTTAAAGCAACACCGCATAACATTTTAGCCAAGAAATAGACTAGGATAAATGCCTATATTTACATTATGGATGTTTTATTATGTTAAAAAAAAAACAAAAAAAAAAACAAAAAACTTGAAAATTCCATCCTTTCTGTGTGTTGGCTTGCATCTCCACAAATCTCATTGAAATGTGGCCAGGGGGAAGGCTGTCAGCTGCTTGTCACCAGGAAATTGCATTTTGGTTTGAACTTTATATTTCCATGGAGTCATACAGGTGACCTGCCACCAAAAAGTTACACAGTGTGACTTTAAGTGCATTATAGAATGTGTTGAAGCAATTATCAGTGTTTATGAAGAAATACCTCTGGTATGCCAGTTTTGCACAAATGCAGAGCAGAAGACATTCCCACATGCTTTTTACTGCACTTGGAGCAATGAAAACGTTGCATAAGCATCAATGGCTTTAATGCATGTATCTAACTATGACAAAAAATGAAAACAATAACTAATCCAAAATGATCCATCCACTGGGTGTTGCAAACATGCACCTCATGTCAAAACGGACCTGGCTGAAAATCAAAGCACGCAACACAAACCAGAGGATCCTCCATCTGGCTGCACCCTGAACGGCATTCAATAATTCTCAAAGAAGCTATGTCTGCAGATATACTATCCTTGTTAATAGCGTCTAAGTAGCCTATGCTTTTTTAACCCACTGTGTTAAATGTAGGCTTAAGAAAGAAATGCTTCAGTCTCCGATGTCTTTATCTGGGCTTGGGAAAAGCACAGAAGACAAGGTTCACCAGTTTGTTCCCACAGAAAATATATAAAAATACATAAAGAAATATATTTTTAAATGTTTAGATAAACATAAACTAGTCCCTGCTGTACACTAAAATCAAATGGTCAGGGATATCAATTGGTGGACTTCTGTCCGGCTGCAGGCCTGTCACCCCCACCCCCAAATCAAAAATAGGAGAGGGATTATTTGTGGGCTAGTGTGGTTTTAGTGTGTGATTTGGAGAGTGTTTGCCCCCTGTGCTGCCAGGGCTGCAGCAGTGCACTTAGCAGGGGCTTTAAATAGCTAACTCAAATAAAGTGAGAGGAGGCCGAGGATCAGAGGCTGAGTGGGACTCTGTCAGAAAGGCATTCCCGAACGGAAGCCGGCGTTTGGATGTCCAAACAGCATTCGCACAGAGAAATGCCAGGAATGTTATGTCCTGCAGCAGCAGGATCGGCCACTGTGAAAAGCGCCAGGTGCCACTGACAGGAAGTGCAGCAGGAAGTGCACGCTGAGGACAAAATGGCGCCCAGTGACTCAGCAGAGCAGTGACCATCAGGTCTTCTGTCTTCTGTTTGGACAAGTAGCACTTTTATTGACCTAACATCTGCCCCTTCTCGCTTTATAACAGTCTCATCCATCCCTGTTACTAGTGTGTTAAATGTGTATTCTCTTTTGTCCTTTGCACTTTTTGATGGCTAGCTTTGTGCTGGCTGTGGGAAAGTCTGCCATAATGATGAGGTCATCCTCGATCACCCACAGCCCCCGACACCCCCATCCACCCACACACACACCCACGCACACGCACACACACCACACACACACACACACACGCACACGCACACACACACACACACACACACGCACACACACACACACACACACACACACACACACACACACACACACACACAACAAAACCTCATGTGGTCACTTCCACTGCTGGACCTCAGGATAGCCGTGTAGCCTCCCTATCTCCATATCAGCTGAATCTCCTCCATCTCTATCCCACTTTCAGCTTCTCATTTGTCCACAGAGACCAGGACTGAATAAAGCCTCATTCGAATGTGCTATCTGTGATTTCCTCTTGGTGCCTGTAAACATGAGAGATTTGTGCAGAATCAGCACTATTTAATGGGCATTTCGATCTAAGACACTATTTTATAAAATATGGTAGATACTTAATTTCACTTAAATAATGCTTATATTTGTATAATATCTCACTTGCATACATACATAAGAGTGAAATTGGCAAGAAAAAAGCTTACACACGTGAACAATGAACAAACAGTGGCTCCCTCTTTTCTGCATCACTCAAGGAAAAACTAAAACTAAAACACAACACTTCCCACATAAGTCCATCTTTCCCACAATCAGGGAATAATTGAGCTCCATACTATACTGTTAATAATAATGACTATCACTTGCTATAAAGGCTTGTCGAAGCCTCTCATAAAGCTACACTGAAGTCATTATTAGAAGTCATTATTATTCATTCTGTCCATAGTGCTGGTAAACTACTATAGTCACATCTGCCCTTGGGTAGACTGACTAAGCAAGGCTGCCAATCTGTGCCATCAGCCTGTCCGACCACTACCAAACACTGACTTAAACACCACAATGGGCAAGGTTGATGTGTTTTGACAAAGAATAACTTTGTCTGAGTGGGAAACAAACCTCTGACCTTCGGGATAGTGGTGCTCTAACCACTGAGCCACTATTGGTCTATTGCTCACTACTGCACTATTGTTTGAAGGTCAAACACACTTTCATTTTGATTCATTCATTGGCTGCAGTGGGACAGCTTTTTACTACTATCTATTAGTAACATCAGAAAGACGTGTATTTGTTTTTATCCGTTCTATTTAAAGCCCTGCTGCATAAGGTTTCAGTCTAAAATTCACAGAAATGAAGGAATCTACTTTATTACAGATCTTTTATTGTACTACAGAACCTTGAAACATGCCTGCTTGCAGTGGGGAGGCTTGTCTCTTCACAGACATGATTTGTAACTTTTCTAGTGAAGAGTCTGCCATCTTCTTGTCTCCATGGAGATGGCCTTACTTTGCCTTGAACATTCCAACAAATGGCCTAAATCTTATCTTACGCCATAGAAAATGTTCCAAAGTTTGGTTTTAACATTCTATTTGGATGGAAACATGCAGCTTGAGTGACCGGCACCAGGAACAGCTGATGCTGGTTTGATATATTTGCGAATAATAACTTACTATAACTTTTTTTGTTTTATTGTGTTAACAGTTCATGTAGCTAACCCACAGGCTGATGTTAATTAAGAAGAGTTAATTATGTATAGTGACTTTATTAATAATGTACACAAGTTAATATACAAAAATATATATAATAGGGTAATGTAGGGAAGACTTACACCTCTGTAAAAGAGATAAATACATCACAAAAGATATTTCATATACAAGACATCCACCCTTTGTCCTGTGGAACATTGAAATTGATTCTGTTCAAAGATAAGACTTTCACCAATAAAATCTTTGGATTTACATGCTCTTTCTCAAATATATTCAGAATATGTTCAAATTAAAAAGGGAAATGTCATATGTGACAAACAATACACAATATAAGTACGTGCATTCATATTATAACCCTTCAAAATATAGAGAATCTTCTCTGTTGAAATCCACGTCTCTGTGTAGGACTTTATTATGACAGTCTTAGCTCCATCTAGTGGCAAAATCCTGCAGTGCAGTCAGTAGAAGTGATTTTGCAGGATGACTATAAGAACAAGTGCTGGAGTGTGCATGTCATAGTTCTTTTTTGTATAATTTGATGACAGATCCCGTGTGTTACTTCTTGTGTGACCCGATCATGACCTTGGACACAAAGTTGACGATGGCACTGGCCGGCTGCTCGGGGTCGTGCTCTGCAAACAGGTGGCACATATTTTCTGTCTCACTCTGGGACTTTCTCGCTACAAACCCAAAGATCCTGAAGAAAAGACAAATAGCATCAAAAACTCTTCCTTTTGCTCATGGTTTTACAAAAGCGTGATTGTGACTTACTTAGCTGTAGATCCACTGTTTCGTTTCCACCTAACAAAGGGAAAAGATATTTTTTATATAATATGTTGCAGCAAACCAGTATTCTTGAATAAGTGTTATATTCTAAAAATAAAATTAAATACAATAATTTTTACTCTATTTACTCTGTATTAAATACTCTATTGTTTTCTATTTTTTCTTATTATTTGTGTTTTTTCCATATAGCTGTGCTTTGCTTGGAATGTTCCACAGTATGGCATGAAGCTATGTCCATGGAGACAAGGAAGCAACCTCACTCATATTAAGAATGCATGCATTTCAATATATATTGTATTCAAATAAATACAAGTTTAATCCCATACTGTCAAACATTCTAACCAAAGCTATAACATCTTCATGGAGAAAAGCAGAGGGTAAACCCATCACTAGGAAAAGTGACATAGTGCACCTTTAAGTCAGTAAAAACAAGTAACACCATAGAGAGAAAGATATGTTCAAGAAAATATGTGTGCATAGCTTTTAAGGTGCAATACATTGTTGGTATTAGTGTTCTATTTTCAGTAAGTAAAATAGTTTTGTGTTTATCTTGTTGAGTGGGTGCTGTTGTGACGTCAGGACACTCACTTCCTGCCCTGTGGATCCAGCGAACAGAAAATGACAGTATTAACAGCATAATGTCTCCTGAAGAACAACCTGCCAGCACAAAAACACATATGGCTTAGACTTGTTACATATTGTATATAATGTGTTGTATATTGTTCAGTGTTGTTTTATAGGCTCAGGATCTATATTTCCAATAGATTTCAGAGAGATTAATGTGGCACAGATAATTTGTGTGTTTTGTTTCATTCACATATGTTAAAGTAACCCTTTATTATTAGTCTGTCTACATCTCCAAAGCTTCAAATGTTCCACCTTGTGATGTCATGAAGTGGTAGTTTTCAACTTAACAGCTACGTTTTAGCTTTTGTTCAATAAAGATTGGTAATTTCAGGGCTGAAAGTATCCAAATGATTCTACTGAAAGTGCATGGAGTTTAAAAACACAGTGGAGCACTTCATGTATTACCACATGACATCACAAGGTGGAACATAGTGTTTTCGGTTTGAGAGAAGAAGTTACCCTAAATATTAGGGGTGTAACAATATCCAAGTGTCACGATGCGATATCCTCACGGTTTGAACCTCACAGTACGATATTTACTGCAATATCTTGGGAAAGCTCACGATATGGTGGTGAGGCTCACGATTAGGGATGTAACAATATCCAAATCTCTCAGTACGATATTTTCCCAATATACATCTCACGGTGCGATATTTATTGTGATATTTTGTGGAGGCTAAAAGAACTGTTAATATGCTACTTTTTCCTCTTAAAATGCCTTGAAAAGACTTAATCCAAAAAACTAAGACTTAAAAGTGCTTAGAATTGTTATTTCTTCGTGTAGTCTACACTGAAATGGAGCAAAGGATCATGGTCTATGTAGTTCCCTCTTTTTTTAGCTATTGTTGATATGTTATGATCATCCATGATATTATTGTGAGAACTTTGACAATATGATATCACGATATTTCAGTTATTGTTACAGTCTTACTAAATATGCAGGGTTTGTGTGCTAAACATGTGTCCATGAAACAAGACACAGTTCCAGGTATGTTTGTGATAAGGAAACAACATTAGAACTTAGATTGGAAAATACTGTAACATGGGCATATTATTATTGTGATTGTTTATTGACTGACTTTCTCTGGTTGTCCGTGAGTGTGATGCCTTGTGCTGACACTTTGAAGTGGACGACAGTGGAGGGAGGAGGAGGGTCCTTGGCAAGAGTCACAGTGGTGGCCTTCTGAACTGCCTGCAGTCCGGTCAGGGACTCCAGCTCCACAGAGCCAAGGTACCACACGTTACATGCTGACAGACATACAGCAAAGTGACCATCTCAGATTATTGAACACCACATAAAGTCAAATATGATCTTACCTGCTCCTTGTTTCAAAAGTTCTGCGGCTGAATTTGTTGCTGTTTGTGGAGTGGAATCATTGAGCTCCTCCATTGGGTCTGAAAAAAGTGAAATGTTAAAATGCCAAAGTAAGAAAGGAAAGTAGCATTGTCAATAGAGTAAATTACCTCTGTCAGGAAGGATGAGTTTGCAGGGCAGAGCCAGAGGGGTGATGGAGTGCTGGCATACAAGAGCTGTGAGGCTGCCTGTCATGAAAAAAGTGGGGAAAAAAAGTAGAGGGGAAAAAAAAATCAATCGGTTTGCGCTTAAGTCAGTTGACCAGTAGGTGGAGGCAGAGGAAATCTAAATTTCCTCACTGAGCATCTAGGAACTGATTCTGTGCTGGTGGGCTAGCAGGACTAACTAAACTGCTGAGGTTTGCACTTTCAAATGTCAGCCTGAATGCTCTGTAGCAAAAGCACAATAGGTTCTGGTTTACCCAAAGCACATTTTACATTTACAAAAAAAAAACATTACATGAATAGCATCCTGTTGAGATGGGTATTATACCAATGTATACAGTGATAACACAACTATGAGTGTGTAATGTGAGCGCTCTTACCAAAGTAGGGCTCATTTGGACAACCTTTAAGACGGACTCCTTTCTGTGTGCACTCAATCAGAAAGTGTCTGACCAGCTCATTGGACATGTCCCCAGCTGTGTAAAAATACATAAACATAAAATGGAAAATAACTGTCATTTATATAACAGAATGTGTTTTAAAATGAAAACTTTGTACATACCCTTTTTACTCTGCTGCACCACTGAAGGAGGGGGCGTGGCCACCTTCATAGCCAACCCATATGCCCCACGGAATGAATGACTGTCTCTGACAATGAAAGAACCTGGTTCTTTGTCCTTTAGAAGGGCGATAGCTGCTCAGGGTCAGCACCAGGGGAAACACAGATAAGCTACAGTTACAACAATATCAAGTTTGGTCTGGAGAAGAAGGAAACTTTTGCACAACAGTCTATTCTGGGTGCTTTGTGGGGCTTTGCTGTCCAAAGCCAGTATTTACCTTGGTCTCTGGAAATGTCAGGCTTGTACCAGAACTTGGACGTGTCCTGAACAAACTTCACAGTGTCTTGCTTACTGCCGAATTCTGCAAAACAAATATTAGATCTAAATAATGAACTTAAATTATTATGTTTAACATACATAAAACTTGTAATACAAATTGTGTTTCATACAAATACTACAACTATATATTTAGATATTTATAAAAAATATCTTTAAATAAACATTTTATTTGAATATTCTAATTTGTGTATAGTTTTGCTTGAGTTATTTGTCATACGGAAAAGCCAGATTGCTGTGATCATACCGGGTCCCGGTGATGGGGCCCCTCCCAGACCTCGGAGTGGGTCTGGACTCATGGAGGAGGAGAAGGGGATGCTGAGGCTGCTGCCGCTGTGAGGGCTGGAAAATCCACTTAAGGAGGGAGAGCGTGATCCGAGGTCGCCCACCTCTCCTGCCCTCCTCTTTTCAGGCAGCAGAGGGGGCAGTCCTCCATCCCCAATCAGACCCAGTCCCTCCAAGCCCTCCATGGCCTCTAGCAAGCTGTGCTCCAGACTGCCATTCCCCAACAACGAAGAGAGGTCTGTGCTGTCAGTCTGTCTGCTCCCCAGAAACTTCAAAGCCCCCCGAGGAGAGCTGTGCGCTTTAGGGGAGCTGAGGGACAGAGGGGGTGATGGCTGGGTGGGATGAGGAGAGTTTAAGGAGTTTGGACTTCGGTCCTGCCAGACTGGAGGAGGTGTGGAACTGCAAGATAAAAAGAAACCATTAATATGCTGCATTTTTTACTTGTTAGTCAGTTGAAAACATAAATCTTGGATTCTCTAAAATGCATATTGTCAAAAACCAATGTTGATGTTTCTTTGACTGTACAAAGCCCTTACCCCTTATTTAGCCTTAATAAAGAATAAAGAAATTATGTACAAATCATACTAGTTTAATACTATAATACTAATAAATAGCTTATTAAGAGTGATTCAGGCTTAGTAAGAGGTTAGGGTTAGGAGTTGGGTTTAGTGTTGAACCTGAAGTCATTTTAAAATATGTGTTCATGATAAATCTAAACTCTTCCCATTTTTAAGGCAAAATAACTTAAGGTCAATAACAACATAAGAACAACTCCAAATAACCAGAGCTATTTTCCATACAATTGCACATAACTTGACATAATTTGACAGCAAACAAACAAAAATAAATTCATCCAAGGAATTCATATATGGAGAAGTGAAGATGTGCTCCTTTAGAATGGCACAGACACAAACAATGTAGACTATGTAGACCTTTCCACTGCTGTCCTGTAATTATACTTGATAAGCAGTTATTTTACATGTGTGGCAAACCTGTATTCTGTAGTATTTTGGTACATACCTGTCTGTGTGTGGGAGGGGACTATTTGACGACATTGAGTACATGGAACCGAAGCTCCTCTGACAGGAAGCCGGGGGGACATCTCCTTCTATGGCGCTGCTGGCATGGTTCATACTGTCCAGGAAACTCCGCGAATCTGACAAAGAAAAGCAAACATTTAATACAACAGCAGGTGTCCTATATGTATTAAAACCACCAGGTGTAGCGTGACTTCCCAGGATATGACTCGGCCTTTTCCATAAACTGTAATAACGGCCTGCATACCAGCGCCTAATGTTTGTTTTCCTTGTTGCAATTCTCTTGTATTTGAAGAGGAAACACACCTGTCCTGTCAACTTATGCATTCTGCTTTTCTAAAAAAAAAAAAAAAAAAAAGCTGAGGGCAGATTATGAAGGCCACTGGGGGGTAAAGCAGCGTTGAATGTCCCAACATCCCAACATGACATGCTGACAGCCTGACAACAGTGTGTGTCATTCAGCAAACATGAGGGCAGCCAGTGAAGTGCAGTGAGTCACTCTGAACAGTCAAAGTATAAAGGGCTCCTTGTTCTGGGCCCCTCCATCCGCCTTTCCTGCTCTTACACCATTCAAGGACGCAGGGATGGAGGAACTCGGAATTCTCCACTGTCGCATTGATTTTAAAGGCTAACTTGTATAATGACATGCACTAATGAGGCTTGGGCATGAAAACCTGAGTACAGGTAGGGTTGAATCGAACTGAAAAACTGAACTTCAACTAACAACAGTTATCCACATCCCCTATAGACAACACACACAATAGACCCAACAAAAAGTAAACAGTGAGTCTAAAGTTGAGTTTGGACCGTAATAATTTCTACTTAAACATACAATATTATGCAAAAATATAATATTGTTACCTCATCAAAAAACATTAGTCTGCATTAGTCTGTCTACATCTCTAAAGCTCATGAAGCTGTATTTTTCAAGTTAGCATCAATCTTTTACCTTTTGTTCAATAGACACTGGCAATTCCAGGTTGGAAATAATCTAAATGATTCTAGTGAGCCTATATGGAGTTTAAAACCACAGTGGAGCACTTCCTGCATTATCAGATGACATCGCAAGGTGAAACAGAGCCTCAGTATGCAGAGTTTGTGTGTTAAATATGTGTGACTGAAAAAAAACCCAACTCAAGGTATGTTTTTGATAAGGAAACAACATTAGTGCTTGGAAGGATATTGATTAATGACAATATTCGGGTTCAACGTGCACTGTGGTGGAGTGTCCACTACATGCTTGTCTCCATGGGGATATTATTTCTTTGTATAGAATGTTCCACAGTATGGTATTAAACTTATTCATAAATATTACCCAACTAAAGGAAATCTTCACTGATTGGTCTCTGAATGCATTGCAAAATCACTCTACAGCGTTTTGTCACCATAAGACATTCTGTGTGTTATCATTTTAAATAAATTAGTTCTGTGTTGAATTTAGTGCAGAAGATGTTAAAGTCTGAAATGTAACTTTATCCTTTGGTATGTGTATTAAATGAACACATTTATGATCTGATTTTCCCATGGGTACACTCGTCCCACACTGTGCTGTCTGCATTATCCATGGTATATCACGTGTCCCCAAGTGTGAACTCAGAGACAGCTGTGCTAAGCTTTGACATAACCATGTTAAAGCTTAAACATTTAATCACACTGTCATCATCTACTACATCTACTGTACATGCCTGGATTTACAAAACATATAATATTTTAGTTTAAGTTGTACAGTGTAACTTTTTTGGTACACTGTCTCTCATCTGCTTGATGTTAATGCTTTGCCTGGGATGTTCCACAGTATGGCATTACACTTTTATCTCCATGTAGATAAGCAGGTGACGACACCAGGAGAATTTATAGGTCAGATTCATGGACCAACAACCTTGCTCACAGTAAGAATGCATGCTTTTCAGAATGTTTTTATGCAGTAAAAACAACTGTAACTGAATAACCGCCAGATCGAAATTGTTCACTTATTATGTGTGTTTTCCTGTATCTCTCTATCTGTTTATGTATTGCAGTAATCTCATAGAGAGATAATACAACCTGGGCTGATTTCCCATTTGTTTGAACTTGTCCATTGCCCTGATGCCATGTCACACTGAACGACAGGTTGCCCTCAACTTGAACTTTCTGGGTTCAAAGGTCAAGTGTCTTAAGCATGTTGCAAACAGTCAGCTCCCAAGTTTGCACAAATGCCACTGAAAAGAGTCACTTCAGTCATGGAGAGCCCAAAGAATCAAAGTAATCCACTGTAGATTCTGTTGTTTTGTGCACATGTAAACACAAACATAAACAGGGAAGCAGGCTTCGGGGTTGTGGTGGAGCCCTAGTTTCCCACACTTGCTGTCAGTTTTCTCTGGGGAGGATTTCCCAGAAAAGTAGCTGAAGTGTTCCCACGGCTGATTCTCCTTACTGTGGTCGGTCGCATCACCACCCGCTTCAGCTCATCCAACTAATTACAGAACAGTCCTCCCCGTAGCAACACCAGACTGACCCCACCTCGACCTCCAACCATCACCCAGACTTTGCTCAGTGAGACTCCTCTGCTCATTATTGCACCTTTTTGCACATTGTTTTGGAGCCATGCCATTATGTATCCATAGTTTCATGTGGAATTAAGCCATAGGAGGAAAAAATATAAAGTAATAAATAATTGACACAGGGCCTGTTTTAAAGGTGCACTGCGTAACTTTTCTGGTAGAGGGACTGCCAGCTTGTTGCCATGGAGATGTTAGTGCTTTGCCTAAAGTGTTGCACAGTATAGCATAAAACATATCTATCGCCATGCATATAAGCGGGTGGTGGGTTTATAGGTCAGATCTGTGGAGAAGTGAGCCCACATAGTAAAAATGCATGTTTTTTTAAATGCTGAAATTTTATGCTTTTAAATTCCTCACCTACGTTAACTCCTTTCAAATTAAGCTATACATTATATAACTCAATTGAATGCACATTTTTTGGCTTAAACATCATACCAGTCACAATTATGAAGAGAATTTCCATAATTTTGTATGATTAAAAAAATAATTAGGGGCTGGTGGTATTAAAACAAATATCTAATTTTCTTTTTATTATTCTGAGTTTATAGTATGGCACCAAAAGCAATTGCACTGTTCATAAAAAACTAAATATTTAGACAGATAGTTTAATAGATATTGCTCATCTAATCAGTGTAGCTATACTTAATGAGACAGAAAGGAAAACTAACACAAAGCTAATGGAACTTTCTTTTTATATAATTTCTTTAATTATATAAAAACGTGTGAACATGCTATTCTGGACAACTGACTACTGCACATTTCACCTGCCAAAAACAGCATTAAATCTTTACTTCTGAAAACACTGAAGTTTGTGCTGAATAATTAGTGTTTTTCCACATTAACTTTATCAAGAGTGGCTCTGTCCCTGTTTTCTCTCTCTCTCTCTGCACAGCGCTGGGTGAACACAAAGCCCCCTCAGTTTAACTTGGACCAAGCTAACCCGTTCCAGATGGCACTGTACCATGTGGGCACCACTGGCATCCCCCCTCATCCAATCACAAAAAGCAGCAAAAAAAAAAAATCACCCTTCCATGCTATTCTAGGCTCAAAATTGAATATTATAAATCAATAAAACTGCCGTGAGTCTTTTTATAGAGGTAATATTTTCCAGATTTCTCCGTGGAGCAGGTTGGCAGTTGTAGGAGCCGGGGAGCAGGTTTGAATGAAGAAAAACAACAGAAATACAAAGTGATGAGAAACAGAGGTCTTGTGTAGTGTCTGACAGGGAATGCTTTGTTTTTCCATCCCAGCTGTATCATAAATATACATATTCTAATAATCATAAAGTATTGTCTGGATAAAATGTACAATCTAAACACTAATACTGAAAACTGGCAATAAGGAGGTAACCATATCCAGACAGTCTGAAAATAACAGTGCCATTTCAGTTTAGTATTTCCTTTTTAAATGTAACAGAGTAGATTAGATTTAAGATATTAGATTTGGAAATATTATATCCAACCAATTAAGCCTTGTTCCAAAGCAAGACGGACTTGTGTGAACTTAAAGCCTTCATATTTTGGTATTTTCTGATCTGTTATAAAGTTATGTCCTCATCAAAAACATACCTGGACTTTTGTTTCATTCACATAAGTTTAACACAGAAATCCTGCATATTTAGGCTGTATCCTTTTCTTAAACTAAAAATACACCACCCTGTGATGTCATGTGGTAATACAGAAAGTTCTCCACTGTGTTTCTAAACTCCATACTGTACACCCTCACTAGAATCATTTGGATACTTTTAACCCATCTTTACTGAACTAAATGTGAAGTTGAGATCCTCTTCATGAAATCACAAGGTGGAACAGAGCATTTTGAAGTTTGGAGATGTAGAATGAAACAAAACTCCAGGTATGTTTTTGAGGAGGAAACAACATTATAACATGGTTTGAAGCTCACAAGGGTCAATTTTGTGTAATATAGGCCCTTTAAGGACCATTACAATGTTTTGGTTCAGTTACAGACCAGTCTTGAAACAACCATTAAAGGTGCATTTTTGGTTTTCTGGTGAAGGTTCTATCACAAGCTTGTCTCATGAAAATGTTTTGGTATGGTATAAACTCAATTACAGGTGATTTTACAGTGGTGTCTTCTGCTTGTCTCCATGGAAATTATGACGTTTATTATATAGAGGCAAAAATAACATCTCCCAAGAAGGTTTTGGACCAAACATCTGAAAACCTATGATAGAGTCTTTTTGAATTCCCATATAGGGATTTTTCCAGCACACCTTAAAAATAGCTGTTGTGAAACTTTGAGAAATTACAAAATATATCACTATAGAATTCCCCCTAATAATTAAATGTCCAAAATGTGATTGTAGTCTTGTTTTTGTTGTTTTTCAAAATATTACTACTACTATGTATATAGTGCAGCCTCCTCCTCCTTCAGTCTGTGGCCTGATCCAGCTGTTGACAGAGATCACAGAGCAGCCGCAGGGAGAAGAGGAGCTGTGAGGGAGGAAGGCACCTGCTGTCACCATACAGACCGTGTTATACTCTCAAGCATTACATTTACAGGGCTGACAGTTTGAGGGCTGTTATCTACTCAGCAATGGCACCAGTCCAACTAAACAG